AACGTCAGCCTTCCTGCTCCTCTGATGCTGCTTGGCCTGCTGTGTTCTTCCAGCTCTAACCTTGTTATCTCAGATTCTCCAGCATCTGCAGTTCCTGCTATCTCAAACAACATTTACCAGTCTCCCCTTTCAAAAAAAATTGTTTTTCCAATCCACTGAGCACATTACACTCCATCTACTACCTTCTTCTTCAATCTCTTAACTGGTCCAAAACTCCTGACATCCTCCTCACAACTTATATCCTCACCTCACTTTGAATTATCAGCAAACTTGGGATATTTTACACTTTGTTCTTTTATCCAAATCATTGACGGAGACTATAGATAGCTGAAGTCCAAATGCTGATCTTTCAGTACTCTGAGTTAATACCCAAAAATAACTGGTTACTACAACTCCATGTTTCTGACTGTTCATCAATCTATAATACATGCTAATATATTACCACAATCACTTCAGCCTTTAAGGTGGGCAATGACCTCTTTTGTGGAATCTTGTCCTATCTTTAAGAATCCAGGGGGACCACATCTACTGGTTTCCCTTACCCACCAGTTCTCAAAAAGCTTAGATTTGTCAAACATAATTCCCCTTTCATAAAATTATATTGCCTCTGTTTAAACATATTGTGCTCTGTCTGATGCTGTATTTCCCACATCCCTAAGAACAGATTATAGTGTTTCATCTACTGGTGATATACAAGAAACACAAGAAGCAAGATTAGGACCAGTCCATCAATCTTGTATTACCATTCAACAAGATGGTCGATCTTGAGCTTCAAATCCACCCTTTGGTCTTCATATCTCTTGACTCCCTGAAAGCCTAAAAGTCTGTCTGTCACAGACATAGGCATTTTCAAAGAAACATCATCCTTTAACCTCTGGAGTAGAGAATTCCATAGATTCACAAACCTTTGAGTGAAGTAATTTCTCTTCATCTCAGTCCCAAGCCTGAATACAGGCACCAGCAGGTTCAGGAACAAATTGTTCCAGGCTGCTATTAGACTGATAAATGGACCCTCTAGTCTCAAATAATGCTGATCTCGCTGATGTTGATCTCGCCTAGAACATACCCTGTGCAATGTAACCTGAATGCCTCTGTCTAAGTCTTTTTGATCTGTACATCCTTGCTTACTATGATCTGCCTGTACTATTTGTAAACAAAGCTCTTCTCTGTACTTAGGTACATGTGACAATAAATCAATCAAAGTGAACAGCCCATTTTCTAAGACTGTGACCCTATGTTTTCGTTTCACCAGTTAGCAGAAATAATGTCTCAACTCTTACTCTTTCAAGCCCCTTCAGAATTTTGTATGTTCCATTAAGACTTTTGCATCTCATTCTTCTAAACTCTAGAGAATATATGTCAGGCTAACTCAAAGTTTTCCTGAATCCTCACTCCCTCTTTTCTTGAATGGTGAGGATTATATTTTTTGCCTTCCAAACAGTCAGGAAGATCATTCTAGAATCTTGGGAGTTGTCCAGTCACTTAGCTGGTCCAAATTCCCTGGCAGCTTCAGTGGTTTTGACCCAGCGACACTGAAGGAACGGTTGTATATTTCCAAGTCAGGATGGTGAGTGACTTGGGGAGGATCTTACAGGTGGCAGTGTTCCCATGTATCAGTTCTACCTGTCCTTCTAGATGGCAATGGCTGTAGGTTTGGAAATTGCTGTCTGAGGAACCTTGGTGATTTCTGCAGTGCATCTTGTAAGTAGCACACACTGCTGCTACCGATTGTCGGTGCTGAAAGGAGTAAATGTTTATGGAAGTGGTACCAATCAAGCAAACGGCTTTGTCCACTTGCGGACTGTGGATTGTTTCAAGCTTTGTGTGTTGTTGGAGCTGCACTCATCCAGGCAAGTGGGGAGTATTCCATCACACTCCCGACTTGTGCCTTGTAGATGGAGGACAGGTTTTGGAAGTCAGGAGGTGAGTTGCTCGCTGCAAGATTCCTAGCTTCTGACCTGCTCCTATAGGCAGTACTAATACAGCCAGTCCAGTTCAGTTTCTCGTCTTCTTTCAATTTATCCTTGCCTTCTCTAATTAGCCATGGCTGCACCACATTCTAGTGGCATTTTTATTTCTCAACGAGAACTTTTTTTTTTAAGAATTGGGAATTGTTTGTTTAAATGTTCATCATTGCTTACGTGTAATAATTTAAATTCCAATTTAACTTAAGAAACTCATCCCTCAATCTACTATAATTGGGTTTGTTTAAATTTAAGACATTAGATTTGTACATTATCACAAGAATCTCAAACTTATCAAATTGTATACTTACTTACCCATGTAATTTTTTAAAATATTAACCCCAACATCACAGAATCACAGAGTTGTTATGCTGCAGAAGGAAGCCTATAGCACGTTGTCTCTGTACTAGCTCTGAGCATTTATTGCCAATCTTCTGTCTTTTCCCCAAAACCTTGCACATGTATCCATGCTGTACAACTCTAATAACTTTCCATGACTCTAACAACATAAGAAACAGGAGCAAGAGTAGGCCATTTTGGCCCCTGCATTCAACAATATCATGACCTCAGGCCTCAACTCCTCTTTCATGTCAATTCATCGCAGTCCTCAATGTCCTACTATTCTCAAAATCTGTCTCCCTCCTCTTTAAATGCTTGAAGTGTTCTTGCCTCCACAACTCTGGGGTACAGAATTTCAAACATTCATAAAAAATGCCTTCACATCTAAATTTTAAATGACTGATCACACAAGGATAGATCCAAAATAACCTGTCCCTTGTTGGTTCTTTTACAGATTAGGTAGACCATTACAGTGCCCCAGCAGGTTTAAAAGAAGAAGGCTTACAAAATTCAGCACATGGCCTGCCGCAGTTTAACTGCACACTGCTGACTTGTCTCCCATTTTAGACCGAGAAGTGGAGACCCACGTAGCTCACTCACCCTTAAGCCAATTGAGGCCCTTAAGTAGTCAAATGATGGGCACTTAAGTGTTTCATCCCATCCCTGCTATTCCTGCAGCATGGGAGAGGCTCATACCAAGTGTCCAGCAGGTTTAGCTGCATGGGCAAGGATTGTAGCTCCTTTCCAGACCCTTGTTCCAACTGGAGGCATCCCCCAAGTACATATCACCTTTACCCCTTTCCCTGGGCCTGCACATTCCGCACCCCCAACCTCCTTATCAAGGCATATTAGCCAAAGCCTGTGAATACGCCTGCCTTCAGTTTGGCCCCCATTAGCTCTTACAGTTTACGGACTGGCTGTAATTCCAGCACTCGAACCTGGGACTGTAGATCTGCTGGCTATTCACATGACTGGCAGCTAAGACAAGGTTTTGTGTCCAAAGAGCTAGAAGTCCCACCTTTGACCAATTAACACCTGGCCAAGCGATAAGTGACTGCAATGTTGCCAAACTGACAAGTTTTCCATGCATTCCATGAACTCATGGCTCCAAGATACTTTTTTCCACTGTAGTTTATCCAGTTTATGTGAAAACTAAAGTGTTTCATAATAATTACACAACTTTTGTTACATGCTCCTCTATTTTCCAGATTTATACTGTTCAAAATGTTGGTTAGTGCTAGTAGGCTGATAAACCACAGCCAATGTTTACTGCCATTTGTCGTTTCTTAATTCGAATTGTACCAAGTCAATATCCTGGTTTTCCTAGCCAAAATCTTTTTATCCACTGCCTCATCTGATCCTTTACTCCACAATCTCCTTTCCCATTTTTCCTACCTTTTGTAAAATTCACACACATTTAGTTCTCAACCTAGGTCACCCTGCAACCATTATAAGATACAGCATAGGAGCAAGAGTAGGCCATTCTGCCCTTCAAGCCTACTCTACCATTTAATATGATCATAGCTTTCTCCCTATGCCCTTTGATCCCTTTTGCTCTTAGAACTTCACCTAATTCCTTCTTGAAAATACTCAATGTTTTGGCTGCGATTGTATTCTGTGGCAGAGAATTCCACAGGTGCACCATCCTCTGGCTGAAGAAATTTCTCCTCACCTTAGTCCTAAACGGCCTGTTCCATATCCTTAAACTGTGACTCCAGGCTGTCGACACCCATGTCATTGGGAATATCCTTCCTGCGTTTAACCTTTCTAGTCCTCTAAGCAATTTTGAAGTTTATGAGATTCCCCATCAATCTTTTAAACAGATGTATCGTTCTAACTGGTTCAGTCTCTCTTCATACATTACTCTTGCCATCCTAGGAATCGATCTGGTAAACCGACATGATACCACTTCCACAGTGGAACATCCTTCCTCAGATAAGGAGACCCAAAACTGCACACAATACTCCAGGTGTGGTCTCACCAAGGCACTGTTTAATTGCTCCTATACTTGAAAAAGGCCAACATACCATTTGCTTTCTTCACTGCTGCTTCACCTGCATGTTACTTTCAGTATTGGTATGCAAGGATGCCCAGGTCTCATTGCACCATCCCCTTTCCCAATTGATCACTATGCAGATAGTGATCACAGTTTTTGCTATCCTCTTTTTGCTATCTCACATTTAGCCACATTATAGTGCATCTATCTGTCCACTCACTCAACTTGACCAAATCACACTGAAACATCTCTGCATCATCCTCAGTTCACCCTTCCACCTAGCTTTGTGTTGTCTGTAAACTTGCAGATATTACATTTACTCCCCTCGTCTAAACCATTCATACATATTGTGAATGGCTGGGGTTCAAGCACTGATCCCTGTGGTACCCGATTAATCAATGGCTGCCACACGGAAAATGACCTGCTTATTTCTACTCCTTCCTTCCTGTCTGTCAACCAGTTCTCTATTCATGTCAGTGCACTATCTCCAATCCCATGCACTTTAATTTTACATGCTAATCTCTTACGTAGGACCTTATTAAAACTCTTCCAGCATGATGGTGATAGGGTAAGTCGCTCCATTCAGCTCACCAGTTCTTTTTCTCTGTCTTTCTTTGTCATTCCTTTCTTTTTCTCCCTTCTTCTCTCTCCCTCTGTAGTAATTCTGCTCCCGCCCCAACCCTTTTAACCACCTACCTAAGGAGTCGGGAAGGAGCCAGATCGCGACCGGGAACAATGTGGCAGGAGCTGAACACGGGGGTTGTGTCCTGCAGCAACGGCAGATCAAGTGTGATCTGGAGAGCGCGGGCTCGTGAGGCAGTGGTGGCGAGAACAAGCCAGCGAGGCCGCTGAGAGCAGGTTGTTGAGGCGGCGCAGAGTGGGAGGCTGGCAGCGGCATGGCATGGGCTGGAAGGCCCGGAGTGGGGCTGCAGCAGTGGAAAGGAAAGTTGGACTCAAGTTTTTTTTTTCTTGTCTTATTCTAAGTTAATGTGAATGACGCCATGTATGTACAGCGAAGTTACACACTTCACTGCATTTTGAATACACGTGACAATAAATGATAAATGATTCAAATGATTCTGAAAGTCCAAGTAAACCACATAAACTGGCTCTCCTTTATCAACTCTACTAATTACACGCTCGAAAAATTCTAGTATTTTTATCAAGCATGATTTCCCTTTCATAAATCTATGTTGACTCTGTCCAGTCCTGTCACTGTTTTCAAAGTACTCTGCTATTAAATCTTTTATAATGGAATCTAGCATTTCTCTTCTACCAATATCAGGATATAGATCTATAGCTTCCTGTTTTATCTTTATTTGTGCCATTAATTCATCTATCTTGTAATGAATCCACCTTTCATTAGACACAGGCACCATTAAATGTAACTTTCTAGTATTTTCCCTTATGTAGCATTAGTCACTAATGTCCTGTCATCATGGTTTAACCTTTGACACAACCTGCTAGATTTTACTCAAATCACATTCCTGCTCCACAGTCTTGTTTTTACTCTTAGTGTAACTGAACTTGCCTTGATTTGAATATTTCTACCCTTCACCACTCTTGTTAGTTTAAAATCCCATCTACTCTATATTACAAAGAATATACTGAACAGAAACAGGCCAGTCAGCCCAATTAGTCCATACTGTTATTTATGGTCCATGCGAGCCTCCTCCTACTCTAATTCAGATACATCAGAACTTTGTCTATTTCTTTCTTCATCATGTGATTTATCTGACTTCTCCTTAAATGTATCAATTTAAATTTGCCTCAACCACACCATGTGGTAGCAAGCTCTATTTTGTATCAGCTTTTCAGGAAAAAGAAACAAGTTTCTCCTGAGTTCTTTGCTGAATTTATTAGTGATTTTCCAAAAATTCACAAAAGTGGAAACATCTATCCTAATAAATCCGTTCATAATGTCAAAGACCCTCTATCAAGTCATCTCTCAGACTTCTGATTTTGAGAGAAAAGGGCCCCAGTCCATTTAGCATTTCCTCTTGGTTTTAACCTCTCAATTCTGGCACCAAAAGATTTTGAGTGTGTACTGCTTCGTACTGCTACCGGACCACACCTTAACCTACTGACAAGTCATTGGTTTTGAGAAACAGATCACCTCTTAAAAGAAAAATTGACAAGATAATTTTACCTTCCGACTTACCTCTGGATCATTGGTACTGAGGGGTTCCACCAACATTGCAGTGTGAGATTTCCACATGTCTGAGGTGTTACCAATGACATTTGCCATAATTGAATAGCCTTTTTCCAGTCAAGATTTCTGCTGCAATAAATATAAAAATAGTGTGAGAGAAATGATCAAGCCTGGAACTTACGTCAGTCAATAACCAAGGTCCTCTAAACTGCTTAATCAGCACACTAAACAATGTTTCAACAATCTTATATAATCATTCACAGATTGAATGTGAAGGTTCAGGTTTGTTTGCTGTTGTAACAGTTGCACAACAATTCAAACAAACCACGATAAATAACCTTTACTGATGCCCTTCCTAGATTGGAGAGTTCTGTAACATAGAAAGAGGTCATTCGGCCCATCATTTCAGTGCCAGTTCACTGCGAAGAATTAACAACATGGCTTGGTTTCCCTACAATAAAATAAAGACCATGGATGCTGGAAATCTGAAACAAAAAAACAGAAATTGTTGGAGAAACTCAGCAGGTCTGGCAGCATCTGTGGGAAGAAAGCAAAGTTAGCATTTTAGATCCAGTGACTTTTTTCAGAACCAATTCTGTAACTGCTTCAGCTCCATAATCCTCCATGATTTCTGCAAATCTAGGCTCCTTAATGTTATGATTTTAGTCTCTCTGCTATTGATGGACAGACTTCAGCTGCCAAAGCCTTAAAGCTCTGGAATTCTGTCTTAAAAACCTCTATACCTCTCCTTCTTTTAAGCTATTCCTTAGAATCTATCATTTTCACCAGGTTTTTGGTCATCTGATCTGACATCGCATGCGGTTCAGTGTCAAATTTTGATAATGCTCCTGCAAAGTGCTTTGGCCTGTCTTGCTACAATAAAGAGGTTACATAAATGTAAGTTGTTGTGTCATCAAAGATTTGACAACTAGCCACACAAGTTGATATCAGAAACAGCTGACTTACAGCCTAGTCAAGAAGGCTTTAAGAAGCAACTAATTTAGGCTTGCATAGCTGCAGACATACCTGCCAATCATGAGACAGAGGAAGAGAGGATGCACAACAGGCTAGAGTTTGAAGAATGTCAAGTCCAAACATTAGATAGTCTCTGCAAAGGAAGTGCCACTTCTACAAATACAAGAGGCCACAATGCAGATTTGTAACAAATCTCAACTTCATGTTTTGCCAGCTAAAACACTCAAGTTCAGTTGTTTCCTCCAAATCTAGTTTCTTTCACTGACAGTAAAGTAGCAATTAGAGCTCAATCTTCTGACAAGTTGTCCAACTGACATTTTGGATAAAAGCATGCTTTGTTTCAGTGCTCAAACCCACCCTCCCCAACTCCATGTGGTGCAAGATGTCACATTGCACCAAGCTACCGATATGTAGTTTTACTAACAGTACTCACGAGAGAGGAGGTTGAGCACCAAAGTTTGGAAGGATTAGCTGCAGCACATGAGGTTCATCCTAACTTCCAGGCACACGCTTTTAACTTTCAACTCCCTCCAAAAACCTCCCCTCTGCTCTTCTGCCAACAGCACAGGTCCTCAATGCAAAACTCTTCCTCAAAAATGTTGCTCTTCTCCCAGTCCTTCACCAAATAACTATTTTGGGTATCACCCAAATGCATCCACATCCAAAGGATCTTAAGCCAGCATTCCATCACCTCCAACAGGATGCCACCATCAGACACATAATCCCCTCCCCTTCCTGGTCAGCATTCTGCAGGGACCGTTCTCTCCAGGTCACTCTGGTCTAATCCTCTTCCATTCTCAATACTTCCCCAAGTTAACTCTACTTTCCCTCCACAGATGCTGTCAGAACCTGCTCAGTTTCTGCAGCACTTTCTGGTTTTGTTGCCTATCTTTGAAAGTGAATTACATAATGAGGGTTGCACACTATTTTCCTGTACACAGTATTAATAATAGCGTAAATTCTATTCTTACTTGACATCCATTTAAGTCAGGAATAACCTGGTCTTTATAATTACACTTTATCACATCCTTGGTACTTTCCAACACATTGTAAAGCCAGTGAATTATTCCAATTGGTCATCAAACATCATAGCAAGGTTCCACAGCCAGCAAAACAGATTTGTCTTCCTAATGACCCTGGACTTTTACCTTTTTGCTTCGGTTTCTGAAATCGGGTGGGGTGTATATTTCATCAGGTAACTATATATTCCTGATTTCTAAGGACAGTTTTTGATTGAACAATCATGTCTCTGGGCAAATAATGTCACCAGGAGAGTGCCAAATTCACAAAATCCACTCCTGAATGAAAACACTACTGTCAGGCATGTAGGACTCAAATTAGGAGTCAAGTGACCTTTAGCTGCCCTGTAGTTGGTCACTAAAGTGAGCAGAGGTGTATGGCAGGCAGGTTCCCGCGGGTGGGAGATATGTCAGTTTCCAACTTTAAAAACAGTAGAAAGATCGGCTCGCTGAACGTCTTAAACTTACACTCAGATTGTGTTCTGAGGACACTGGGCTCACTCTACACATTCTCAAAATTCTTCACCCCATCCCGTTTCTGGAAAGCCTCCAGACTGTGTGCAATATTTTGTAAAATTTGCTTGAAGTGGAAATGGACCTGGAGCTAAAGTCTTGGGAGTCGTGAGGGCTGCTGGTCACCAAAGTGACGATGACAGACTGCACTCAGATGACATTCGTGGCTGTTGAGCTGTATCTCTCCAATCACCCTCCAACATAAGGGATTGTGGCTGAGTGAAATGCAGAAAGGTTACAGTGCAGGAGGCCATTCAGCTGGTCACATTCATGCTGGCTCCTGCAAGAGCGATTCACCAACACGCCCCACCCTTTTCCTCATGGACCAACACATCTGTCTGCTCCTTTACAGATACTCAAAGCGGTTATCTTGAATGAGTGCAGAGGTTGAATCTGCCACTTTCGGGCCATGCAATCCACATCCCAAACACCCGCACTGTGGAGCAAGGGATAGACACTTTCTCCCCACCTACACTGCCTAGAGACCTCAGGATGTTTAATTCTCTGAGGTCTGAGTAAGGCACACAGGGGATAGAAAGAGGGTATTTCCTGCCTCACTGCTGGCACTCAATGACCCATATTTCGGACACTACACCGTTAACGAGTGTGTAGGATTTGAAGCGGGGCGCCTAGAGACAATCCTCCGGCTTCAGGCAGGGCAGTGAACTATCGTTCACCCTCACCAGCAGCTGCCGCCTGTCTTTAGTCGGATAACAACTCATTCACGTAAACGTTCAGCCCCTCATAAAGCTCTAACCTCGATGGGTACCGTCTGAAAGTCCCAGAGCCTGCTGGGGGGATGTGGAAGGACACTCCACCGCCGACTCCGACACCAACTCACCCTCCACGCGGGAACCGTGTGCTCATCAACCGTTACCAATCGGCGCCGACGGATACCGCCCAATCAGACTGCAGTCGCCTTGACCATCAGCCAATTGGAGTGAGGCAGCTCTGCACCCTAGCGATCAATCGGAAAAGGGGGTGCAATCCAATCAGTAAGGGAGCACTATTCACTTTAACCAGTTGGAAAGGGAACTTTGTTTGCTGCAGCCAATCTAAAAAGGAGGATGTTTTAGTACAGCTAATCACAGAAGAAGCGCTATTTAAGTGTAGCCAATCAGGGAGAGAAGTCGGTATACTACGGCCAATCAAATAGGGTGAAGTATTCACAACAGCCAATCAGAGATGGTACAATATTTACTGTGGCCAATCAAAGACTTTTATTATCTGACATTTGTCTAACACAAATGAGATGTATCACTCTTAGCGCCAGATCAAATGTTGTCTGGGTTTTGTTGCATGCAGGCATCGACTGTATTATCTGTGGAGTTGGGGATGTAACTAAATATTGCGAAATTCCCACTTTCCCCTTATGAAAGAGCAAAGGACATGAATGAAGTTATTTGAAGGTGGTTGGACCAAGGACACTACACTGAAATTCCTGCATATGTTCTGGGCCCTGTGATGGGCATTCTAGCAAAAGATGGTTACAAATGTTTCATAAAAATTGAAAGAACTGCGGATGATGTAAATCAGGAACAAAAACAGAAGTTGGAACGGCCTGTGCTGGAGAATCTGAGATAACAAGGTGTAGAGCTGGATGAACACAGCAGGCCAGGCAGCATCAGAGGAGCAGGAAAGCTGATGTTTCGGGTCTGGACCCTTCTTCAGAAATGGGGGAGGGGAAGGGGACTCTGGAATAAATAGAGAGAGGGGGGCGATGATGGAAGGTAGATAAAGGAGCAGTTAGGTGGAGAGAAGACGGACAGGTCAAGGAGGCGGGGATGGAGCCAGTAAAGGTGACGTGTAGGTAGGGAGTTGGGATGGGGGTTGGTCAGTTGAGGGAAGATGGACAGGTCAAGGAGGTGGGGATGAGGCTGATAGATAGGAGGTGGGGGTGGGGGTTGGTCAGTGAGGTGGGAGGAGCGGATAGGTGGGAGAAAAGATGGACAGGACAAGGGGGTGGGGACGAGCTGGTCTGGTTTTGGGAATAGGTCGGGGGTGGGGATATTTTGAAGCTTGTGAAGTCCACATTGAGACCATTGGGCTGCAGGGTTCCCAAGCTAAATATGAGGTGCTGTTCTTGCAGCCTTCGGCTGGCATCGTTGTGGCACTTGAGGAGGCCCAGGATGGACATGTCGTCCAAGGTGTGGGGGGGGAGTTGAAGTGGTTCACGACTGGGAGGTGCAGTCGTTTGTCACGAACCGAGCGTAGGTGTTCCACAAAGCGGTCTCCACGCCTCTGCTTGGTTTCCCCAATGTAGAGGAGGCCACGTCGGGAACAGCGGATACAATATACCACATTAGCAGATGTGCAGGTGAACATCTGTTTAATGTGGAAGGTTTTCTTGGGGCCTGGGATGGGGATGAGGGGGGAGGTGTAAGGGCAGGTGTAGCACTTCCTGCGGTTGCGGGGAAAAGTGCCAGGGGTGGTGGGGCTAGTGGGGTGGAGCGGACGAGGGAGTCATGGAGAGAGCGGTCCCTCTGGAAGGCAGATAAGGTTGTGGAGGGAAAAATGTCCTTGGTAGTGGGTCAGTTTGCACATGGCGGAGGATGATGCGTTGAATCCGGAGGTTGGTGGGATGGTACGTGAGGACGAGGGGGATTCTGTCTTTGTTGTTATTGCGGGGAGGGGGTGTGAGGGATGAGTTGTGAGAAACGCGAGAGATGCGGTCAAGGGTGTTTTCGACCACTGTGAAGGGGAAATTGCGGTCCTTGAGAAACGGGGACATCTGGGATGTCCGGGAGTGGAATGCCTCATCTCGGGAGCAGATGCGGTGGAGTGGAAGGAATTGGCATTTTTGCAGGAAGGTGTGTGGGAGTCGGTAGGCTTGAAATGGATATCGGTTTCCAGGTGGTTGCCAGAGATGGAAATAGAGAGGTCCAGGAAGGATAGAGAGGCATCAGAGATGGTCCAGGTGAACTTAAGGTTGGGGTGGAAGGTGTTGGTGAAGTGGATGAACTGTTCGAGCTCCTCGTGGGAGCCCGAGGCGGCGCCGATACAGTCATCGATGTAACGGAGGAAGAGGTGGGGTTTAGGGCCAGTATAGCTATGGAAGAGGGATTGTTCCACGTAACCTACAAAGAGGCAGGCATAGCTTGGGCCCATGCGGGTACCCATGGCCACCCCCTTTGTCTGTCGGAAGTGGGAGGAATTGAAAGCGAAGTTGTTAAGGGTGAGGACGAGTTCAGCTAAGTGGATGAGGGTGTCAGTGGAGGGGGACTGGTCGGGCCTCCGTGACAGGAAGAAGCGGAGGGCTTCCTGGCCCAGAGATAGGGATATCAGCTGTCATTCAGTAAAACAAGACAAACCATGAGTGGGAGTAAGTATTAGGCCCCTCGGTGCTCCTGATCTCAACATGCCAGTGGCGGGCTTTAAGATGGGGAGAGATTTCTGGTAATTCATGATGGAATGAAAGTTGAAGCTTTTACCATTACTATCTATGGAGCCAGACTACAACATGCATATAAATGTGTACGTTGCCACAGCAGCTCGTATCTGTAATGCACCACCACCCCAAAAATAATTGTTACTGGATTAGTAATTCAGAGCTCTTAACTGATGAACCGGAGGCATATTTCAAATCCTACAGCAAAAGGTTTGAAATTTAAACTTTCATTAATTAAACATGTCTCAAATAATAATTAATAATTGTGACCATGAAACTGCCAGATTGCCACAAAGCAATTGAGTCAGCACAGATATTGTGGGCTGAATAGACATTTTCTTTGCTGTAACTTGTGTATGGCTCTTCGGTTTTTATCTTTTGTCACTTACTTCTAGTCCCTCTCAAAAGGGAAAACGTTTTCTTAACATTAAGTCTATTAAATCTCCTTCGTGTATGTTGTATGAAAATTGCCTTTCCTTTATCCAGACTCTAATGGCTAGAGGCCAAACATATCAATTGTTTCTTCATATGATTACTCCTCATCTCAGGGGTCTGCCCTGGCCAATATTTATCCATTGACCTTCTGCAAATTATTTTGTTATTACAAGTTGTGTAACTCATTACTGCATGGAAATTGGTTGTCACAATTCCTACACTGGAACAGTGACTACACAACTTGTCAAGTGCTTAACGACAGTAAGATTGGGATATGTACTGTATGAAAGAAGTTATATATATTTTTCATGATCACAAGATGACTTGAAGCCAATGAAATGCTTAGGAAACACAGTCAGTGCAGAGTAACTAACATCTGTAAGCAATGACTGTGCATGATTTCAGTTGAATTATATAAAGAATGACAACGCAAGTCAATTGAATTATTTAAACAATAACAGTACATGATTTCAATTGAATTCTTTAAACAATGACAGTAAATGATATCAATTGAATTATATAAACAATGACAATGCATGTTTTCAATTAAATCTATTAAAGATAATGACAGTACATGATTTCGATGAAATTGTATAAACAATGACGGTGCATGATTTCAATTAAATTGTATAAACAATGACTGTGCATTATTTCGATTGAATTGTGTAAACAATGACTGTGCATTTATTTCTGCGTTGCCATGGCAAAGGCTGCCTATTTCTCTACTATATGGAAATAAAAATGCATTTTTCTAAAATCGCTTGTAAGGAATGTAAAACATTAATGACGACGACAGTAGCGCTGGGGTAAAGTCCAGGCTGTGGTCCTGAGCTGCCACATGGTAACAGAGGGACATTGACAGGCACCTGCCGGCGGCACAGATGCTTCTATGAATGAAACCCGAGCTTACGTCACAGAAAGCATCATCAGAGGGACGGGGGAACGTCATAAGACGTATTGCGTCATCTAACCGCGACCAACGCGTTGCCGCTTCAAAGAAAATGAAAAACGGCAATAGTCAGAGACTTTACAAAGCAAAGTGAGGCGTGTCGGAGAGAGCGGCAGCGGGGCAAATGGCAAGAATGTGGAGGCGGGTCGGGAGGAACCGGCGTTTATATATAGACCGGGCTGTGACATCATCAGGGCCCGACGGCAGTGAGGGGCGAGGCCGTGAGAGGAAGCTGAGCTGGAGAAACAGAGAAGGTGGGAAAACTCGTGTGTGTGTGTGAAAACCCAGGGGAAAGGGAGTAAACTCTGAGGGAGAGGGCACTGGAGGTGAGAGATAGAGGGAGAATGTGAGAAAACAAGGGAAGATAGAGAGAAAGAGAATAGTCTTGGTGGATGGGGGTGGGGGATGGAGAGAGATTGGGATGTGGTGAGGATATTTTGGGGGGGAGAGGGAGAGGGACGGTGGGCAGGAAAGCTAAGGAGGGGGGAGTGAGGGAGAAGTGGGCAGGAAATCCGGGGATGGGGGGTTGGAGAGATGGAGGGGAAGAAATCCAAAGAGGGGGGGAGAAAGAGAGAGAGAGAGATGTCGAAGAAACCAGGAGTGGGGTCGGAGGGAGAGAGAGATGTCGAGGAAACCAGGAGTGGGGGCGGAGGGAGAGGGAGATATGTC